CCCCCCCCGCCCAGGCTTCCCAGGGCAGCCCCCCTGAGCCTCGGACACCTTTGTGCAAGAGCCAGGGCACGCGTGCCACTTGTTTGAATTCGAGATGGGTCGAGACACTTCTGACACGACCCCTAGCGAAAAACTGGCGCGGTGGCTGGCGCAGCAGCAACAGCGGCCAAAAGCTCGCTGTCGCTGTCATCCTTGCCTGCAGGCTCGGCTTCAGCCTCCGTAGCCTGCCTGGCTGAGGCCTCCGCCTGGACTGCCTCACGCTGGGCGATGTCGGCAGCTCCTGCTCCCATCGATCCTTCTCATGCCGTGCTTGCGCGCATGGTCTTGGCACCTGCTTGCCCACTGTCTTCATGTCGACGTGGAGATGCCGACCTCGCTGCGACACGTCCGCGCAGCAAGGCTGCCATGCGGGTGCGTCCTGCCTGCTGTGCCACTGGGTCGGCGGGCTGCTGGTATTTCTTGGGGCCGTTCGCCTGCGCTGCCATGGCTTGCTGCGCGGTCTCCACGGCGGCCTGGCGCATCTTGTTCATGTCCTCCTCCTTCTCAGTTCTGAGCGCGCTGATCTCCGTCTGCAGCGAGGTAACGGCGGTCTGGAAAATTCTCATGTTGGCGAGCAGCTGCGCATTACTCTGCTGCAATGCCGCGAGCAGTGTTGGCATGGCGATATCACTCGCTGCTGCAGATTGCGCTTCTCCAGGTGGCGCTACCTGCTGAGGAGGCTGCGCTGCGACCCTCGGGGGGGTGGCTGCTACATCTGCTTGGCAAGCTCCTTTCCCTGCTGCCACAGGCCATGAGTGGTGGCCTGGGCGTGAGGGAGTGGTCGCGGCGGTGGAGGCAGCTGATGCCTTACCTGGCGACTGGGGGGTTGGAGCTCTATGCCCTGGTCGAAAGTGCCCTGCGGCACCATCGTCCACGGCCATGCAAGTGTCATCATCATCTTCTTCATCATTTGCTGCTCTTGCTGACATGACCGGTAGCGAGTCTTCGAGCTCCTCGAAGTGCTCCAACAGTTGCTCTGCCTGTGTAACTTCTTCCTGCCAATGCTGACATTGAACCTCCGATGCGTCAATCTGTTCATACAAAAAAATCAACTTTGCTGTGGCATCTGTTAAGCGCCTGCGGCAACGATTGACGAACAACCTTTGTTTGGTCACTCTTGCCTGCGGCGAACGGCTGTGCATAAGCTGATACAGAACAACTGCGTATTCCTCTTGCAACGCCGAAATTTGCTGGGCATCCAACGTGAGAGCATCTGCGCAACGAATTTGCCTCTCCAGCGATTCCATGGTTGACGTGAGGGCTTTGCGATATTCTCCCAGCAATTTTGGGTCCTCTGGCGGATCCCTCCATCTTTTGTGACTGGTGGCCATCTCAGGCGTGGCCGGTAACACAGGGATGAGATCGTCCTTGGACTCCTGCTGATCTCCTGCTGTTAATGTTGCTGCATCTCCATGTGGCCGCTGGGCTGAAACGGCTCTTCTTCTAGGTGCACGCGAGGCTGATCGCGTGCGCCATGGGCGCTCGTTCGACTGCTGAGACATGGAGGGAAAACACTGCTTGCATGTGTACGAATCCCAGGGGTTGGCCGTTGCGCACGCTGGACATTCCCATAGTTTCTTGAAACTCTGCTGCGTGCGCTGCCATGGCACTGATTTGGTGCCTCCCCCTTTGTTCTGGAACTGTCGTGATCCCTGTCTAGCACCCATTGGACTGGAATGGTGTTGTCTCAATAACTCTGCTGCTGCGGCAACCTGCACGATCACCCTGGCTCTGCTGCGAGCCTGGCGCTGTCGTCTGTGCCAAGCGGGGTCCACCCGCTTTCGTCTGCCCGTCTCCGTGGCAAACGACTGAATCACGACTGCCCTGCTGCACGCTGGGCGCGGCGGGCGAGCACGTATGGCAGCAGTCCCGAGGAGGCTCGCAGGGCGGAGGTACTGGGTACCTGGGCGCTGCACCCAAAGCCTCGAACCGGGACAGCGGCTGGGAGGGAGGGAGGGAGGAGGGAGGGAGGGAGAGAGGGAGGGAGAGAGAGGAGGAGAGAAGAGAGAAAGAGAGAGAGAAAGAGAGAGAGAGAGACAGACAGACAGACAGACAGACAGACAGACAGACAGACACACAGACAGACAGACAAAGAAACAAAGGAAGAAAGAGGAAGAACGGCGGGTAAGGGGGCGGTAGAGGGGAAGCGACGGTATAGGTACAGGAGTTGCGCGACATGGAGTCTTGGGGGTTCCAGGGGCGAGCGGCTTCCATGGGGACGGTGTAAGACAGTTCGGCACATTAGTTCGGGAGCTCAGGCACTCTGGCACTCTGGAGGTGGAGGGAAGGGTTTAGGGACGCCCTCTGTGACGCATCCCCTCGGCGATGGTGCGCCCTGCGGGGCTTCGACCGATCTATGCTTGCGTTCAGGCAGCAGGGCAGCAAGGGGGGCTGGGAATTACCAGCGGGTGCGGAATTACAGGGTAAGTTCGGGGATTGAATTGCTAGAGGGCGGGCCGGGAATTACCAAAGTGGTTTGGGAATTCCTAGATTGGTTTGCGAATTACCGGGGTGGTTTGGGATTCGATTTACCAGGGGGAAGGGGGTCGACACAAAATTCGGCACCGCTGATACATGTTGACACATGCGGATCAGTGGTTTCTGAAGTACCGGGGTTTTCGTTGATACAAAATCAACTTGAAGTTTTCACGAAATTGGCACACAACAGTGACACACACACACACACACCACGCACACACACACACACACACACACACACACACACACACACACACACACACACGCACTTGACACATCTTGAACCTATTGACACGCATTGACACGTGGTTTGGAAATTACTGGGGTTCCTTTCTTACGCAATTGACAATTATCGGCGTTGCCCCCCCCGCGCGCCCTAAGCTCCCCCCCCCACGCGCCCGAAATACTCCCCCCCGCGCGCGCCTCAAGCCCCCCCCCCGCGCCCGAAGCACCTCCCTCCAGACGCCCTACGGGCTCCAGGAGGGGCCCGAGAGGGGCCCTAAAGGCTCCAGGGGTTCTCATTGTCACTGTGACCATCTGTGGGTCCTTCTGGGGCCCCTCTTGGGGCCGACTTGGGGCCCTGCGGTGCTCTCCAAAAACGGTTTAGGAGTGCCTGGAAGCTCTCCCGGAGAGCTCCAGGAGGGGCCCGAGAGGGGGCCCTGGGGTGGCCGCAGCGAGGGGGGCTCATTGTGACCACCCCTGGGCCCCTCCTGCGCTACCTGGGGCCGTTTCCGGAGCCCTCGTAAGCCTCTATGGGCAACGAGCAGATTCCGGAAAAATGCCCCAGGCTCGCCTCGAAACGGGCCCCTCGGGACATTTCTGTTGGCTCATTCTTCGGCACTGGGGGGGCCCTCCTGGGGCCTTCATGGGGGTTTCCGCGGGGCCCCTCGATGGCCTTCGAAGCCATACTGGGGCCCCCTGGGGGCAACTTAGCATCGCTTGGAAGGTCTGGTTCCCGCTGTCCTGGGCCAGACCTGACATGGAGCCCTACTGGGGGCATCTTGGGACCCTCATGGGTGCCGTTTGGGGGCAGCATGGGGCCCTTTATGGGGCTTCTTGGCTGCCTTCGGGAAGCAGATTGAGCCCGTCTTGGGAGTGCCTTCTCCTTGCTTCGATCCATTATGCACACTCGCACGGTGCGCGACCGCTTTTACATTTTGGCGGGCCACGCAAAGTGAAACTTCAAAGGCACAAGTGTGTGCAACAAGTCAAGGGTTCAAGCAAATTCAGCACATAGACCATATGTAATGTATAATGTATAATGGCGTGCACTAGTATAGACAACTTGAGAAATCTACGCGTCGCTGCCCTCAGAAATGACGCCCACGCGAGGAGCAAGGCCCGCGTTTGCCGCTTGAGGCCAACGCATACAGATGACACTGAGCTTTGACCTGGACGTCCACTGTTAACAACAATGGTGCCCTCGACACGTCTGGTTAACAGCTTGATCAGACAGAACATAGCTTGTCAACACACGCCGAACATGCGATACCAATTGTCGAAACCAGGTTCGAGATGCGACACATCGTGTCGACACCCGTTGACGATGCGACACATCGTGTCGACACCAGTTTGAGACATCGACACATCTTGCGACACCCTTGCATGATGTGGCTTCAGTCTTGACTGATGTCACCACCGATGCTCGCAACAAAAGGTTCAACAACTTTATTCCCCTCGGCAGTTCGCCTCAAGGAGGAAATCGCCACCTCGATCCTGGGGCACGAGACGCGCAGAATGTAAAAATGCGCAGCCCCTCAACCACCCGTCGCCTGAACCCCCTGTCTTCTTCCTTTCCCTCCGCCATGGAAACAATCGCCAGCCCAAGGGGCCAGAGGCGTGCTGAAATCTCTGGCAACTGGTAAACAACATGCTTTCTGCTTCGCGCGCGCGGGGCGGCCCCGGGGGGTCCGCGGCCGACGAGTACCCTGGGCAGGTCCCCTGGCAAGCTCCCAGCAGAGATGGCCCTGCTCCAGGGCGCCGCCCTCAGGGCCTCCCAAGAGTCCCAAGAGCGGCCCAGAGGCCCCCTAAGCGGCCCTCTGGATGGTCCTGTAGTCCTATAGAGGCCTCCAGGACACGACATGATCGCTCTGGGACGCCCAAGATGGCCCCAGGACGGACCAAGAGGCCCCCAAGAGCACTCCCCAGAGGACCCCAAGAGGCAAAATTAATCGATGCCCCTTTGGTCTTTGATGGATTTGGGCGTTCTCGCCTTTTCGGCTTCCCGACGCTCCAAGACAGCCCAAGAGGCCTCCGAGATCGCCCCAAGACGGCCCAAGAGGCCCCCGAGGGGGCTCCAAGACGGCCCGAGACGGCTGCTAGACGGCCCCAAGAGGGGACCCACAGGGGAACCCTTCACGGAAATTCCGAGCTCTCGGCCCCAAGAGGCGCCCAGGAGGCCCCAAGAGGCCCCAAGAGGCCCCCAAGAGAGCCCAGGAGGCCCCCCAGAGGAGGACCCTCGAGGCCCCCAAGAGGCCCAAAAAGAGGCCCCGAGAGGCCCCCAAGCGACCCCCAAGAGGCCCAAAGAAGCTGCGAACGCGCAGGCAAACGCCTGCCATGGCACAATACGGACCGGCAGAATGAGCGAAGCGAATAAATAATGATCGACATCCCGTAACGCCAGCTCACGACACAAAACTTAAACAAGCAATGACACACACACACACACACACACACATGGATGCAGCTGGCGGCAGCACTGTGGACTCGGCGGGGCTCCGTCGCGGCGATAACGTCAGGCTCTGGGGCTTTGGGCCCTGCGGCGCGCAGCTCTGGCCCTGCTTCCCTAAGGACAAAAAGGCAAGAGATTTGGATTCTTGACGCGCGCCATCCGTGCGCAAGTCCACTTGCGCATGTTAGCCTCCAAGCCCTGCAGATCAGCGCTGGACACGTTGAGACGAACCTTCAAGCTGGCCTCGTCATTGGTGCTGAAGCGACTGGAGCGGTGCCACGCGACCGCAAAGGCGCTGGCCGCCGCCACGCTCTTGAAGTTTATGAATGCGAGGCCTTTCCCAGAACCGTCCTTGAAATCTCTCGGGAGCCAGGCAAAGTCGTACTTCTCCTCGAACCCACTGCGGTTGACCTCGTCGATGAAGTCCTGCTGGGAGATGAGGACGGGCACATTGCGCACCACCAGGGTGGTGATCCTGGGCTGGTCGGCGCGGCGAGCCCTCGGGCTTTCCTTCCACTCCTGGGCAGCGCGGGCACGGACCTCCGGGGCCGTGGGGGGCGCCACGGGGGCATCGGCCGCCGCCACGCCCGGGGTCGCAGCAGCGGCCCCGGCCCCCTGGGCCGCCGGCACCCCGTGGATGCCCGGCGGCAGTGTCCCGGCGGCCGTCGCTGGAGCTGCCACGGCCTGCCCGGCCACCGGGGCGGCGTGGACGCCCAGTGGGCGCCGCGCACTCCCCGGCGGCGCGGCCGGGCCCGCCGCCTGCCGCCTGCCCTCGCAGGAGTGCGGTGCCGAGGTGTGCTTCACGAAGCCGCTGGGGCCTGGCGGTGCCCAGGCCTGCCCAACCGCCGCCGGGGGGGCGCGGGCGCACGGGCGGTGCGCCTCGGCGGCCTGGACTGGCCAGAGTTCCCACGCAAACTTGACCTCGGGTTCGCCCTCGTCGTCCGTGTCGGGCCAGAGGAGCAGCTTCGACGGAAAGTCCTCCGTCTCCTCCTCGCCACCGCTGCTGACGACCTCCGGCGGCGCCACTGCGCGGCGGCCGTGCACGCTGCGGCCGCACTGCACGCTGTCTGGTGGGCCGCACATCGGCGACGGTGAGCAGTCCCAATACCCCGCCGGAATCCTGTTGGGCGCAACGCTCACCCCGGAGCCGGAAGTCCACCGCCCCAGCGGTTCCGCCCGCGGCGCGCCGCCTGCCGTCGACGCAGAGGTGAGCCTCTCGGGCGCCCCGTCTGCGCGGCAGCCCGGAGGCACGGGGGTGGAGCCCTCCGACATGCAGAGCGCCCCAGAGCTGCGTTGAGGGCCCAAGTTCCCCGCAAGAGGTGATTGACCGTGCTGCTGCGGAGCGGCGGTGCCGAACACTGCCTGCATGCTTTCTGCCAAGGAGGCGACTTGACAAGGGTCGCGGCTTTCGGATCAGGGGGTCCTGCCCAGCGACTCGAGCAACCGACTGAACAACCGTGCGCTGTCGAAGGAGTACGGCACTGAAAAAATGCATCCCAACGTGGACCCAACATGATAAGTTGTTGCATTGTCGATGTAGAAGTGTGGCGCATAACGCGTGCATGGTGCAATCTACTCTGCGCAATCCACTATGCAGAACTTGAAGTTGTCAACTCCACTGCTCGCGCAATCATCCCACCCGCAATTTAGCTTGCAAAGCCCATGCGGCAGCATTCGCGATGACGGCTTGGCACTGGCTGGCGCATCTCTACGGCCGCACTAGCATGCACAAGCTCGCGCGAAAAGCGGCCAGCTAGTGTGGCATAACCGACGCGGCCGCAGTGGCGCTGACCGATGGGGACTTCCCAACGCATCTTACGGGCCGCGCTGGCGCAAGTGCACTTCAGGGCGGGTCGGTAACTCGGGCAGGCGAGGTGTCATGGTAACATCGACAACGGCGGAAACGATGATGATAGTAGCGATCATGGTTACGATGATGGCGATGACGACGGCAAGGCCAATGACGGCGCCGATGCTGGTCACGCCAAGGACGATGATGATGATGATGTCCACATGTCGTTGATGAAGGTTTCGGAAAGATTTCGACATGCACGCACGGCCGACGCGCGCGCGTGGCCCGCATGGTACGTTGACCGGGATCGTGTCCCCCCCCCAGCAAGCGCGCAAGGGCGTTCGAATGATTCCGACATGCGCGCGCAAGAGGCCCACGTGGTCTCATTTGACGAGAAAATTGTCCACCGATGACTTTCAGAGAACTTCGCAAGTGCGCGGCGCAGATTTTGTCTGGGGGAACTAATGTTGAAAACCAATTTCGTTAACCTCGATCTTGGACTCCCAACGGAACCTATAGCTTTTGAAGGAATGCGATGTACATGCGCGACGACGCGCGCGCGTGGAAGTTGTCCAATTTTTCGGAAGGGTGCATGACTCGATCGCAAACATACCACCCACCGAGACGCAATTGGTTGGCAAAGCTCAGCTGGGCGGCGACAACGACGATGACGATGGCGATGACGATGACATGGCGGATGCGGGGACGATGTCGACGACGACGAGGGTGATGGGATGAAGCTGATAGTGGTGACAATGACGGTGTCAATCACGGACCGAGACAAGACGGCCCAATACGGCCCAAGAAACCTCCAAGGTGGCCCTGGAAGGACCACAGAGGACCCCAAGGAGGGCCTCTAGAAGCAAGGAGCACTACATGTCCTGAGGTTATTCTGGGCTTCCGACAGGCTAAGGCGGCCCAAAGGCCCTGAAGATCGCCCCAAGACGGCCAAATCAGGAGAGCCCCAAGGCAACCCAAAGACGGCCGTAAAGAGCACCAAAAGGTTCCCAAGACGGCCCATAGAGGCGCCCAGGCAGTCCTCCAAAGGCGGCAGAAGACCCAAGAGCGCCCCGAGACTGCCCAAGAGACACACAAGGAGGTCCAAGAGAGCCCCAGAAGGTCCTCAAAGGGGCCAGGAAGGCCCGAACAGAGCCCCAATACAGGGTCTCTTACGGCCCTTGTGGGCCCGAGTAGAAACAGATGGAGGCCGCCAGAAGCTCCTGGAGCTCGTTAGGGTACCATTGGGCCATCTCGCCGCCTGGCTAGTAGTTTACACGCATGCGCTAATGATCCTTGGGACGCGTGTCTCTCGCACAGACTCCGCTTTAAATCGATCCCCAGACCCGTCCCAGAGTCCAGCTGGCGTAGATGTTCACCCCGGGTCCTTTATTGACGGTCCTGGGGCCCGAAAACGGCCCCTGGAGACCGCAGAAAGTACAGAAAGCTTCTCGGGCCCAGAACCTCGAACCTCTTCCCCCCTATTCCTGCTCGCCAGAGGCCGCCTCCCAGAGCCAGGGGTCGAAGACAACGACCACGACCACGACCCACGACCACGACCCACGACTACGACAACAACCCACGACCACGACCACGACCACGACCCACGACCACGAACAGACGATTACGACCAACAACACGACCACGACCACGGTTGCACAGAAAAGGTCGAGGCGGAGAAAGAGGAAGAGGCGACGGGGAGAAAGAGGAGGAGGAGGAGGAGGAGGAGGAGGCGGAGGGAGGAGGAGGAGGAGGACACGATGATGATGATGAGGAGGAGGAGGAGGAGGAGGAGGAGGAGGAGAAGGAGGACTGGGAGGAGAAGGAGGAGGAGAAGAAGGAGGAGGAAGAAGAGAAGGAGAAGAAGGATGAGGAGGAGCGGGAGGAGGAGAAGGAGGAGGAAGAGGAGGGAGGAGGAGGAGGAAGAGGAGGAGGAGGAGGAGAAGGGAGGGAGAGGAGGGGGGGGAAAGGTGAAGGTGGCGAGGGGAGGAGAGAAGATGAGGACGGAGAGGAGGACGAGACGGAGGAGGGAGGAGGAGGAAGAGAGGAGAGGAGAGATGAGGAGGCAGATGATGGAGAGGAGAGGAGGAGGAGAAGAAGGAGAGCGGAGGAGCAGGAGGAGAAGGATGAGGACGAGGAGGAGGAGGAGGAAGAGTAGGCGGAGGGAGGAGTAGTGAAGAAGGAGGAGGAAGAGTAGGAGGATAAGTGGAGGAGGGGGGAGGAGGGGGATGGGGAGGAGAGGATGATGATCGGGGGGGGCAAGGTAGAGGAGGGAAGGGGGAAGGAGGATTGTATGGGGAGTAAGTATGAAAGAAAGGAGGAGAAGGATCAGGCTGAGGCCGCTGAGGAGTACGCGGAAGGGGAGGGGGGGGGAGTAGGTGGGGGGGGGGGGTAGGGGGGGGGGAGGAAGCAGGGTGTGGGGTGGTGGGGGTGGGGGATGGGGGGGGACGGGGGGGTAAAACACAAATGGAGGTTTGAGGGTGGGAGTGGGGTGAGTGATGACTGTGATGATGATGGATGATTATTTGATGCTGATTATGGCAATGCCGAAAATGGATGATGATGATGACGATGACGATGATGATGATGATGATGATGATGATGATGATGATGGTGATGGTGATGGTGATGGTGTTGGTGATGGTGATGGTGGTGGTGATGGTGATGATGATGATGATGGTGATGATGATTATGAGGAGGAGGACAGGACAGGACAGGACAAGACATCCGCATAAGGGGGCGCAACGTGAAGTCACCGACGCTGGTGTCTTACGCACTTCTGCCAAAATTCCCTGCGATCGGTTGTGCAACAGCCCTGCCTTTTCGCTAGGGCCAGCAGGGGGCATACCACGTCGCTCAAGGACTGAGCCCCGAGGTGGCCCCGTAAGAAAAGCTCGCTACGTTACGTTCACGAGTCCCTGCGGGTCAGTGCGGGGGGAGCGGCTGCTGGCCCTTCCGCGTGCCCTAGGGGAGGGGACGCGCGGGCTTAGCAGTGCGCCCAAGCCAGGGGAGAGGAGACGACGACACGACCTCTCAAAAGGAGGAGGGACGCAGGCCCGTGACACCAAAACTGTTGCTGGGGGGGGGGGCTGCTTATTCTACTGTTTTAATTAGATGTTCCCCTCTCCCGCTCGGCTCACTTCTCGGTCTGGCCGAGAAGTGCCCCATGCATTGTCGCAACTGTAGTCTGACACCCCGTTGCAGTATCCCACCAATCCCCCTCGAAGTGTATGTGGGGTAAGGCATACTGGTAGTCACGGTGTATGGTAGGCCCATCGAGGAAGTACACTGGTGGGTTTCATGATGAACACTGTTCTAATATGTCGGTACTCCAACAAATACTTCCCATTGCGATGACGGTGTGATCACTCCGTGATGCCCATCCTGTATGCCCCGAGTTGCACTCCGAGAAACCTCGCTAATGCATCTCATGCCTGCCTGTAGGGGGAGGACGAGGAGGAGGAAGAAGAAGAAGAGGACGAGGAAGAGAGGGAGGGGGAGGAAGGGGAGGAGGAGGGGGGAGGAGGGGGAGGGGGAGCGGGAAAGGGAGCAAACGCCCTGGCCCCGGGCGTACGACCACGACCACGGCCCAGATCGGGCGGCAGCCCGGCCTGGCGCCTCCCCTCCGCCGCCTCGGCGCCGTGCTCGGCCGCCCCGCCAGTCCTGCGCCGCACCCCGCTCGGGCGCCCCCAGGGGGAGGGGGAGGGAGGAGAGTCGCAGAGGAGGGCCTAGAAACCTCCAGCTACTCCACCAGTTCCTCCTCCTCCTCCTCCTCCTCCTCCTCCTGCTCCTCCAGCTCCTCCCCCAGCTCCTCGCAGAGGACGGCGCTCCTGACTCATGTGCGTGACTCGCTTTCCCATCTCACTCCTGCACAGCCTGGCTGGCGTATACTCTGTGCCCTTGTGGGCCCGATTACTTGTTCTTTGCCTCTTGCGCCTCTCATGCTTTTTACTACGCCCGCCAGGCGTGAGTTCCTCCTCCTCCTCCTCCTCCTCCTCCTCCTCCTCCTCCTCCTCCTCCTCCTCCTCCTCCTCCTCCTCCTCCTCCTCCATTCCTTTTTCGCATAAATAACTTCTCCCTGTCACACTCCGAGGCCAGTGTTTAGGGCGGGCCAGGCGTTTCGCCTGAGACTTCCTCACCGTGCATTACTCGGAAGCTTAGAAAATGTCAACAGCTTCACAGATGGAGGGCGGGTCGTTTTCAAAATGCGGCTCTCGCCCTAGCGCCGCGCACGTTCGTTCTAAGAAATTGCAAGAGTTTCACCAGTTGAGGGCGGGCCGTTTTCAAAATGTGGTTCTCGCGTAAGCGCCGCGCATGTTAAGACATTTGCAAGAGTTGCACGGATTGAAAGCGGGTGGTTTCCAAAATGTGGCTCTCGCCATAGCGCCGCGCACGTTCCTTGCAAACGTTTGCAAGAGCTTCAAGGATTGAGGGCAGGTGGTTTTCAAAATGTGGCTCTCGCTCTAGCGCCGCGCACGTTCGTCTGAAAAAAATGCAGGAGTTGTACGGATTGAAAGCGGGTGGCTTTCAAAATGTGGCTCTCGCCTCAGCGCCGCGCACATTCGTTTTAATATATTTGCAAGAGCTTCACCAATCGAGAGCGGCTCCTTTTCAAAATGTGGCTCTCGTCTTAGCGCCGCGCACATTCGTTTCCGTAGAATTTCACGGATCCCCATGATCGACGTACCAGAACTGATGTGTTGGAAGGATTC